TGAATAAGCGGGGGGGGGGAGGAAAGCAAGAGACCCTCTTTGAAAAAGGAGAAAGAAGATTCATTTAAAGTAAAACTAGCGGGAGCAGCCAAGCTTGACCAGCCGCGAGTTGGGCTCGGGGAGTTTTCCGAAAGATAACAGAGGAAGGAGGGGAGGGGGAGGGGAGAGGGCGGGGGAGGGAATTCTTTATAGTGATTGAAATCCCGCCGTCCCATCTCTTTGGGCGGGAGGAAGGAAGGAAGGAAAGGAGAGAGAGAGAGAGAGAGAGAGAGAGACAGGAGAAGCGAGTTTAGGGATCCTGCTTGAGGAATTAGTGGCGTCGTCGCTCTCCCCCCCCCCACCCCTCACACACACATACACACGTCCCCCGCCCTCGGGCTGATCGAAATTGTTGGGTAGGTTTTGACTGTTGACAAAGCAATTCCTCCAGGAAGTCCTGCTCAGGAAGAGGTGACAATTTGGGGAGGTTGAGCCGAGATTAGAGGCTCCTAAGAGGGGGCTGGCTATTTACACAGCGACTTCTATACCTTTGCCATCCATAGAGGCGGTGCCCCTACTAAGCTGCTTCCAAAAAGCCGTCGTTTTTTTTTGGGGGGGGGGGGGGTTGGTTTGGTTTGGTGTTTTTTTAAATCTCAAGACGGATTGCTTCGGGTCTAGAGGGGTAACCGAATTTCATTGTATGAAATACTTCCAAGAGAATTGCAGCAGTTTTAGCGAAGCAGCCCACCCGCTTGCTTTGATTCGCTCTTTCAAAATCCAACTTGCTTTTAAAAGAAGCGGGCCCTCACTTGCCTACGCCGTGCCGCGGCGCGCGCGCGTTCCGACCCATTCCCTTCTGGACTAGGCAGACCCGCCCTAGAGGCTCTTTCAGAACGACTGCTGTCAACATACATTGGGGGGGGCGCCTAGGGGGCTAAAGCGGGTTGACTCGGGAATGGAATGGAGCAACAGGGCCGGTGTGGGGCAGCCCAGACAGGAGGCAGAGACCGCGCTAGGGCTTGGGCTTGAGGTTGAGGTTGACCGGCTGAGGCCAGATGCAGTTGCCGGAGTTCAGTGGCAGGCTTCAGTTGGGGATTTTGGCCAGTTAGGTTCTGGCGGCCCAGGTAGACTTCAAAGGCTCTGCCCGATGGAAAAAGTAGGGGGTGAACCGCAGTGGCCGACTAATTTCATTTTCTGGCCCAGTTCAGACGAGAGCAGGATTCTTCAAACAAGACTGGGAAAAGATTTCGGGCTGGGCAGAGAAAGAGAAAGCGTGGTTGTGTTTGGTACCTGGCTCAAATACAAACGCCTAAAAAGTTAAAAAAAAAAAAAAAAGGATGACTCAGCTTGGGGAGAGGGGATTATTAAAGATCTCCTGGACCGGAGGTTCATTTAGACCCCGGTTTAGTTTGAAACTTTCCCCGAAATCTGGCGAGAAGTAGCCAACCGCTCGACGCCCTCTGTAGGTGCCGCTTGGAACAATCTCGGTTGCCCCAGAACAGGGGTAGGCAACCTCGGCTCTTTTATGACTCATGGACTTCAACTCCCAGAATTCCCGAGTCAGCTATGCTGACTCGGGAATTCTGGGAGTTGAAGTCCACGAGTCATAAAAGAGTCGAGGTTGCCTACCCCTGCCCCAGAACTTGGGAGGGGAAGAAATCTGCCTTCCACCTACCTCCGGGATAGGGTCCCCCCCCCCCCGCCCCGCACGCCTCTGCTCCCTCCGGACTCCGGACTCCACTCCGACCCCGGAGGAGATAGGGTTCTTTCCCCGACCTACCGCAACTGCGCTGGGGCCCGAGCAATACGGTTTGAAAGGGGGGGGGCGGTGGAGGCCAGAAAAACGTGTACATTTCTGTGTAAACGTGTGGTCTCCGTGCGTTCCCAAGACGCGGTTTGCGCCAAAGGCTTCCTGGCCCATGTCAAAAACGGGAGGACCTTCCTCGCCACCCGCCTCTTCGTCTCCCGGCCCTGTCAATGGCCCACTCGATCCGCCGGGGGATCCGTTGCCAGGCCGGCCCAGTCGCCCCTTCCGTAGGGCAGGGTAACATAACGACCTGCCGGGGCGCAGGGGGGGGGGCAAAAAGGATCATTTGGCGGCGGCGGCGGCGCAGGTTCTTGCTGAAAGGCAGCCCGCCTAGCTTGTCGCGGAGCCTGCAGGCCCCCCGAAGTGGGCAGGCGAGAGACGAGAGGGAAGTGCCACTCTGATCCATGTCATCCCGAGAAATATTCCACGCGAAGAGGCGCTGCTGCTACTGCTGCTTGGGAACCCAGAGGACTTTCTCCTGGTGAAGTGGAGAGGCAGGGAGGATGGATCTAAGCAAAGGGGGAGGGGGTGGAGGGTGGGGTGGGGTGGGGGGGGAGAAGCCGAGTTCCATTTTGCCTCCTGCCACCACCCTTTACCTGGGAAAGGGGCGGAAAAACCACGTCGAGGAGCAAACGGCAGGGAGTGGATTGATTTGCCGCAGGCTCCTCGCCCGCTTTTCGTTTCCCGAACGTTTTTTCGGAAGTGAAAAACACTCTTAACTTCGTTCGACCATCCGTAGGAAATCTTTTATGCCCAGTAAACGTACAACGTACAACACACTCATACCAAGTTATTCCTGGAGACAGTTAAAAATCGCAAATACACGGCAGGGTAAGCGGGGTTAAGTTCCGTCTCGGCCAGAAGGAAACAGAAATACAGGCATGCGTGCGTTTTAACGCGTTTCCTTAGGAAAATCTGGGGAAGGGGGGGGGTGTCGAAATTACGAATTGGCGGATAGACTCTCCCCACCCCCTTCTACGGAGCGTCCAGCTAAACGGGACTTACTTGGGCTCGGTACTACAACAGAAAGTCCCCGAGAGCGGGGTTTCCTTTCCCCATCCTTTTCCTGTCCCTTCAGACCAGCTCGGCGCCACAACCGGCAGCCCCTTAGGCCGGGAGCTTGAAGCCGCTCGCTCCCTTTTCTCGGAAGGCAGTTCGGCCTGTCGGGATCCGCAGCCGCCCTCCTTCCTCCAAAGGTGAGTTTGCGGGACTTCCAAAGCGGGTCTGAGTTCGAACGGCGCCGTGGCGGGTTCTTCGCGCGGAGTGTGTGAAACGCGCCTCCGGAGCGGAGCTGCCGGCCAGCCTGAGATTAAAGCCGCAAAGGCCAAGGGCTCTGGCGGAGGGGAGCTTCTTGCGGACGCGACCTTCTGACGGCAAAAAAAAGAAAAGGCCTGGCGTGGTGATGGCGGCGGAGGGTCTGAGTTTACCGCCACACGCCGAGGTGGTGGTGGTGGGGGGGGGAAAGGGTCCCGCCGCCACCGCGGCTGAAAGATGGAAGCCGCCCATTCCCATCGCGGCCAACCCAGCGGTGAGGCCGGCCAGGCCAGGGAGATCCAGAGGCCGCCAGGTGTTTTTCGGGCTAGCTAGAAGCGGGGCAGACGATGGCGCGGCCCCCGGCCGGCCGAAAGCCGGGCATCCCTGGCGGAGGGGGCGGCTGGAGGACCGCCGGGGCCGAGGCAGGGAACCCCTGGCCGGAGATGTGGCGCTGCGCTTTGGCGAATCCGCGAGTGTTGGAATCTACTGCCTTTGTCTGACAAGTCATCCATCTCCCGGGCCGGCGTGCGGGGGAGGGAGGGGAGGGGAGGGGAGGGAGGGGTGTGTGTGTGTGTGTCTGTGGACGAGAAGGGGGGGGGAGAGACGGGTGCGATCTGGAGGGGGCTTTGCCGCTTTTAGAGAGACGGGCACTGGCGGCGGCAGCGCCATTCTCCAGGCAAAGCTCGTGGCAAGCACATCCTCACCTTGGCGCAAAGCCGCCAGGAAGGCAAGAGGGAGGAGGAGGAGGAAGAGGAGGAAGAGGAGGAGGAGGAAGAGGAGGAGGAGGAAGAAGAAGAGGCCAAAAGTCTGGCCGGAGCAGAAGGAGCCCTCCGCCGTCGCCAAGGAACCTGGAGCTACGGAGGTGGAGGAGGCTGCCTGCCTGCCTGCCTGGGGAGGGAGCGCGCTGGCCGCAGCGCCCCAACTTCAGCTTGAGCCGAGCCGGCCCGGGAAGGAGAGGAGCCGCCGCCGCCGCCGACCCCTTCCAGGGACCCCGCCATGCCTTGCTCCGGGCCCCCCTTAGCCAGCCAGGCAGGGCTGGTGTGAAAACGCCGCAGCGGGCGCAACTTCCTCTCGCTCTCCCCACTTCGCTCGGCCAGCAGCAGCAGCGGGCCCGAGGGCAAGGAGGCTCCCCCGCGGCCCGCCGGCCGGGCTCCCCCCCCGCGGCTTGCTTCTTCCGATTCTCCCCCAAGTCCTGAAGTCGACCCTCCGAGCGAAACGGCGGCTTCAGCCGATTTCTTCCCTTTCCTCTGCCTCCCCATGGATATGCACTGCAAAGCAGACCCCTTCTCCGCGATGCACCGTGAGTACCGGCCGCAGCTTTCCCTTGACACCCCCCCCCCGCTCCCCCGACCCGGCTGCCCCTCTCCTGAATCCCGCCGCCCAGTCGAAAGTTCGGGTTCCCAGTTTTCCCACCGTCTTCCTTTCCTGCTGGGGTCCCGCCGCCCCGCCGGGGTGGAAAACCCCTCGCCCGCTTTTGGATGTGCCCAAAAAAAAAACAGGCAGGGAAGGGACTCGGAGAATTCCCGGTTCCTGAAGCCGGCGCGGGGTCCTTTGCCATTTTTCCCCCCGGGAAGTCTTGGTCCCGGAATGCCCAGGGCCAGGCTCCGGCGTGCGGGGACTCGAAGCGGCGGTCTGGCTGCCTCCTCGACCTCCGAAGGCCGCCCCGAAGGCGGAAAAACAAACGGCGATTGATCTGTGCGTTTAATTTCTTTGGGGGAGAAAAACCACATTTCAAGGTCGAAAATATTTTAAGCGTGCCGCATTTGTGGGAAATTCGGGTGCCTGGCCGGTTTTGTTTTGGGTCCAGGTTTTTTTTTTTTTTTTCCCCGACCTTGCCCTGCAGTTTTAAAAACTCGTAGAATTGCAGGAATGGTGTTGGTTCCTGAGAAATAAAGGTGCGAGGCAAAGGAGAGGAAAAAAAAAAAACCCCAAAATCTCCGTCACGCCATTTCCCTTGCTCTCCCCGCATTACTGTATTTAAAAAAAACCAAAAAACCAAAGAATCGGTTTCGGATTTTGAACTTTCAAATTAAAAATAGAGCAGGCGATTGCAACAAAGCTTCAGCAGTACATAACAGTATATAACTTTCTACCTTCTTGGCTTTTTAGTATGCCTTAGCTAACAAGGGGCTTATAAAGAAACGAAAATGGACCTGTTAAGGTTTAAAAAAATATTTTGAGGTTGGAGAATCCGACATTTTTATACCAACAAAACGCATTTTTTTAAAGGTCGGGAAGCTTTCTTTTTCTGAAAATTTTCCATGATTTTTTTTTTTAAAAAAAAAACAGATTATGTATAATGACTTACCTCACCTCATGTCTTGTCCATCACTTAAGGAACAAAACTGACTTTAATTCTAGCTTTAATTCAGTTGGAAACTAGATCGGATTTGCAGACCGATTTTCAGGTTGGAACCACCGGGTTAAAACTAAAACAATAGTTTTAGTGACTCGTTTATCTTTAGCACATTCTACAATTTTATTTTTCTAACGGAGGAAATTGGCTTCCTATGAATTATATCTCGCATTCAGTACAAAGAAAGGTCAGGGACAGAAAATACGGTTGGGAAGCGAGAAAGTGAACCGCAAGGTGCAACGCTCCGGTTAGGAAAAAAAAAAAAAGCAGGTGCAATATTCTGAATTATTAATTTCCGTGATCTTTTTGCATCTGTTGCCTTTTAATACTCTGTAATGTGAGTTATCAAAGGTGCTTTGAATTATTCAGAATTGAGGTCTTGGAGAAATTGCTTGCCGGCTTGTAACTTTAGAGGCAACATCTGCAAAAGGCAAATCAGATAAATGAAGGAAATAAGCAGATACTTCGAGAGGAGAGGAGAAGGAGAAGGAGGCAAGGAAGGCGATCCGAAATTCCCACCGACTTCCACTTCACTGACACTTAGCACAAAACCGTGGCAGTTGATGAGGGGCGAAGCACATTCGTGTTCCGGTACATGCTAATAAAATAGCACTAACCGGACGCAAGGATGCCGGTTCAGCCTCCTTGAACGGCTGCCGGCTAAGAAAGGGGATGAAAAACCTTAAGTTGCCAAAGGATTGGGATCGATAGAGCGCAAGAAGAGTTTCCACTAAGTTCAGAGACCAGAAGTCAGTATCACAAAGGGGGAGAGAGGGAGAGAGAGAGAGAGGGAGAGAGAGAGAAAGAGAAAGAGAAAGAGAGAGAGAGAGAGAGAGAGAGAGACGAGGTTTGTTTTGGATCCACCTGCTTGGCCCTCTGCTTGGCCACTAAGATCTCTGGAGACCGAAACCGCCTTGGGATCCGGGATCCGCTTCCCTTCCAGAGCAGTAGAGCGGCAGATTTTCATTCGGAGGAGATCAGCTGAAAATGGAGGTCGCGGGGTTAACTGAGTTGAATAATCAAAAGAGAAGAGCAGGGGCTACTCACTCCCGCTTCTCAGGGCTGGGCACGAGTTTAAAGTCGGATCCAAACGGCCTTCCTGAAATCCTTGCTTCTCCACCTCTAGTAGGGCTTGCTTCTCCACCTCTAGTAGGGCTATACCCTACTAGAGTGTAGCCAAATAACCCAAAGAGGCCGAGGGGCTGTCTCGAAGAGAGCGTTTTAGAAAGCGTCGGGAAAAAGGCTTAGCAATCAAACGAAACCAAACGCTTAGAAATCAAATTTTATTTATTTTATTTTATTTTATTTATTTATTTATTAAATTTATACACCGCCCTAATCAAACCATCCCAGCTGCTTGGTTTAATAGCCGGAGAAATATTTTTTTTTTCCCCTCCCCGGAAGACGAGAGGTAATATAATAAGAGGGATACTAACAGCAACGAGGCAGTCGTGGCAGTAGTAGCTGGCGGGAAAGCGTTGTAGTAAATAAAGGAGAAACGTTTCATTAACGGGGGGGGGGGGGAAGGAGTCTTTGGGTTTCGTTCGTGGAAGGGTCGGTTCCCACCTGGCAGCTTGAGTCTCGCCCCCCCCCCGGCTGCAGGGAGGGCACTGGGGGGGGAAAAAAGCAGGAAGGCCAAGGAGAAGGAGAAGCGCCCCCAGCGCCCCCAGCCTTGGAAAGGGGGTCTTGCCTTAAGCCACCCTCTTTCTGCTTGGCGGCAGAGGGACTTTGACACACACACACCCCTCTTGGGCCCAGAAGTGCTGGCAGAGTGACACACACACAAACACACACACACACACAGAGAGCCCCCCCCCCCAAAATTCCGGCTTCCAACTCCGCCGAACCGCCCCGACTAATGCCTTTCTCTCGTCTTCCCCCCCTCCCCTCGCCTGCTTTTCTGTCTTTCCGTTCTCTCTCCCCAGCAGGGCACGGGGGTGTCAACCAGCTCGGGGGGGTGTTTGTGAACGGCAGGCCCCTACCGGACGTGGTGCGGCAGAGGATCGTGGAGCTGGCTCACCAGGGCGTGCGGCCTTGCGACATCTCCCGGCAGCTGCGGGTCAGCCACGGCTGCGTCAGCAAGATCCTGGGCAGGTAGGAGCGGTCGGGCGGTCGGGCGGGTGGTCGGCCGGCCGGCGGCGGCGGGAGAGAGGGAGGGAGAGGGAAGGAGGGGGGAGGTCTTGCTACTCGGCTGCTACTCGGCTGCCCCTCGGGGCCCCTCGCCCTGCCCGGGCCCGGCGAGCCGCCCCCCACCCACACCCAAACACCCCCACCCACCCACCCACCCACCAACCCCCCAGCCCGCTCCTCCCTGCCGTTTCTTTTGTCTGGCCTGTCTCGCCACAGGGACCTGCGGTGGGTTCGCAAAGAGGGGGAAAAGCCCGACGAAAAGCCCGGGAACAAACCGAGCGCCGCCCCGCTTGCGGTGAGACCAGCCGGCAAGCCTCCCCTCCCCGCTTCCCAGCTAAGCCAGGCCGGGCCCTGCTTTCTCTCCAGCCGCAGGTCAGCAGGAACCCGGCCCCCGCGCCGGCGCCGCCGCCGCCGCCGCCCGCCGCCTTCAGCAGCGCTCAGCTCAGGATGGGGAGTTGGGGGCGCAAGAGGCCGCCGGGCCCCACTGCACGCCGGCCGGCTGGCCGCCAAAAAGAGACCGACGGCCGGGAGGGGGGGGGCAGAGGCCGGAGAGAAGAGTTTGGAGTCCCTCAAGGCCAGGCCGCGCCCTCTCTGACCTCGGTCCCTTTAAGGCCTCAGCCTGTTTGGGCCTACTCGGGGCCTGGTCGGCCCGGGCAAGGCGAGAGTGGCCGAGGGCGAAGGCGGGGTGGGGTGGGGAGAGAGCCGGGCCTTCGAAGCGTGGCCCGGGCAGGAGGTGCTGGCGGGGGCGCGGCAGGGGCCGAGTGGCGGCTAAGGGGAGCGCCGCTGAGACGGGTTCTGCCTCCCCCCCACCCTACCCCTCCCACAGGTATTACGAGACCGGGAGCATCAAGCCCGGCGTCATCGGGGGCTCCAAGCCGAAGGTGGCTACTCCCAAAGTGGTGGATAAGATCGCCGAGTACAAGAGGCAGAACCCCACCATGTTCGCCTGGGAGATCCGCGACCGGCTCCTGGCCGAGGGCATCTGCGACAACGACACCGTCCCCAGCGTCTCCTCCATCAACCGGTAAGTCGCTCCGGCCGTTTTTGTTTGGCCCTCCCGCAGGACCCTTGCTCTGGAGCGAGGCCTCTGGATCGAACCGGCGGAGGTCTTGACCCCCGAGAAGGCGAAGGGCCGGGGCAGGGGGAACCCCTGGGCCCCGGTTCTTCGCCTCCTTGGAACCGCAGGTCTGCCCGAAAAGAAAGGCCGAAGAGGTAGGATGAATCCCTGCTGGTGATTTGCCTGAGCCAAAGTAGGGAGAGCCTCTGTGGGGCTTGGAGCCGGGCAAGGGGGGGACAAAGAGTTGGGGTGGCTACCTGCGTGGTGCAGTGTTGGAAGCCCTTGTGCTGTGGTTGTTGGTCCAGATCTGGAAGAGGACAGGACCTCTTGCTGGTTGCTTGCTGCTTTGACTGTCTGGGCATTCACTCTCTCCTTCCGGAGCTTCTGTCTGCCTAGGATCTCCTCCTTCCATAGCTTCTGTCTGTCTAGGATCTCCTCCTTCCCTAGCTTCTGTCTGTCTAGGATCTCCTCCTTCCCTAGCTTCTGTCTGTCTAGGATCTCCTCCTTCCCTAGCTTCTGTCTGTCTAGGATCTCCTCCTTCCCTAGCTTCGGTCTGTCTAGGATCTCCTCGTTCCATAGCTTCTGTCTGTCTAGGATCTCCTCCTTCCCTAGCTTCTGTCTGTCTAGGATCTCCTCCTTCCATAGCTTCGGTCTGTCTAGGATCTCCTCCTTCCAGAGCTTCTGTCTGTCTAGGATCCCCAGATGCAAAATCCCCATTCACCAAAGCCTTGGTTGGGGTGGGTCTGCTGCTCTACAGCATTTGGCCAGACCCGCATCCACGGCTTCCCCACCGTCACTGGGGGCTGAAATCACATGCCTGGGGACTGATCCGGAGGCAATGGCAGCAGTAATTTAGACTTCCATGTGCTTTACAAGGTGATGCTGAGAAAGGAATTGGGCCACCTGTGCCAGGCAGATGTACAAAAATGCCCCATAGAAAGAGCAGAGTGGTGGTGTAGTCTATTCTGTGCACTGGTCTGGAAGAGAAACAGACGTGGTGGAGTGGGGGGGGGGAGGACGCACAGAATGGTCCTTTGGACAGACACATAATTAACGATGCTTGAAAAGTGGGAGATGAAACCCCTCCTCACAAATGCTGAGCTGTTACTGAACAAACGCGGGCTGCCTATTTGTTTTGAGTTTTACATTTAGCACTTTTCACGGATATCAAAGGTTCCCCCAAAACTTTAAGCTTCGTGATCCTCTAGGAAGGGATCTCATCTACGTGGGTATCTTTTTGAATGCATAAACTGAGATTTAGGCATCATCAGCAGTGAATTGTAGAATGAGCAGCTGCTGCAAGCATGCCATATTATAAATGTCGGTGTCAAAAAAAAAAGTGGCCCTATAAAGATACTTCGATTCAGATGGACACAACAGCTGATCCATCCACTTCAACAGCTGTTTACTCCATAGTTACATAATAAATAGTTAAATTTATTTTAAAGAATGAAGCAACGTGCATCAAAAGTATAGAAATAATGGGGTCTTTCATTTATGTAAAAAGGTTCTTTGTTCTTGCAAATAGACCTTTTGTAAACTGGCAATCTCGGTGGCTTTTTTTATAGTTTAGGAAACGGGCGTGGAATAATCCCAAATCATCTGAAAATAACAGGTTAAATTAACACGGGAGCCTCCCTTGGTGAAAAGAGATGCCTCTTCAGTGTGTGGTGTCTCTTTGTAATATATGGCTATGTTATCCCACCAAATTATCCCAGTGTGTGCTATCAATATTAAAACGGCCATTAGGTTATGAACAGAGTAAGTTCAGACTGGCTGACTAATTATGAACCTTCTTTAAAGAAAAGGAGGGTCTACCTGTCTCAGGGATGGAAATAATAGGAGTAACATTGGAGAAGCAGCTGGTCCTGGAAAGAGAACTGTAGGTGGGGAGGGGGGCTCAGACCTCAGAACCAGGTTTCTGGGAAAAGGGAGATGCCACTCCTCAAATATTTTCTTGGGCTACTGCAGAAAAGGCGGAAGAGCTGTCCTGGGTTGTGTGTGGGTGGGGTGGGGAGGGAGCAGGTAATTTAACCTCTCTCCAGGAGTTCTTCTCAGAGAGATACCCTAGCATTATACCCTAGTGTAGTAAAAACCACATTCAGTATAGTGGGAGGATCCTTTGCTATAACAGATCATTTTATCAAAGGATAGATCTTTAATCTGTGTCAGGTAGCCTTGCATGGATCTGTACTGTAATGTTCCATGACTTGGTCATTGCATGTTTATCTCTAGAAAGATGCTAGCTTACCTTTAAGTGCTGACTAGATGGCAAATCGCTGGAGTAGCAAGCATTTTCTAGATAAAGTGCAGCAGCCAACACCAGGCATGTGGAAACGTAAAAAGTAAACGCCACAAATCGTCCCTCATAAGCCCAAGGCAGCCATCAAGAATCAGGATTCATTTGGTCCCAGTAAACTGGGAAGCCTTGACTTTTCCACCCATTACCTAATCTATTCCTGAAATAAGGTAAACATGACACATTGGGCAGTATTTTGTCATTAAATCTAAGCCAGTATTTCTGAGGGCTACTAGAATCAATATTTGAAGTTTCTAAAATTAAACTAGAAAGAAGATAGTCTTGATATAGTCTTTAAAGCTGATTTGGTGACTACATACACATCTACATATATTATGTGGTGTGTGTACATTTCTTTGATCTCTAAAATCAATGAAAGAAATTGCTCAATTTGCCATGACAGAAAACAGAACTCTTGAAATCATATTGTTGGAAATTAAAAAGAAGTAGATTTCTCTCTAAATTGATAAATATTGGGATTAGGGCCAATAATTGATTCATACCCTATATATATATACCATATAGACTTATAAACAAAAAAAATATTATAGAAAAAAATAACTTTTTATCTTTTCCATCTTGCCTGAAAATTTATATTTGGACGTTTCTTAATTTTCTCTTTCTCTTTTTCTAATTCTCAAATAGTAAAATAGAGTTATATAAACAATAATGGGAAGTGATATGTCAGTACTAAGCTTTGCATTCAGTGTCTTGAATCTCATAAATGGTATGGCGTTTTGAATTATTACTCTTAATGTTTACCTCCTGCTTGACTGTAATCTTATTTTTATAGACTTTCTGGATTTGAAAGTCATGTGAATAGATCTGGTGATCCAGAGAAGTGGTAGTTTGCTATTTGCTAGATGTTTTAAAGCTCAGAATCTGCTTACCTTCACTAAGTAGTCTGTTAGATTCAATGGTTTAAATGGCACAGAAATTTAAATTAAACATTAAATACTGAATTTTCAATACCACTACTACAAGCTGCCACTAATATGGCCACGTTACAATAGAATATGTTAAAGGAGAACTTTCCAACATTGCCCCACACCTTTAAAACATCTGTTATTTGGTTTTGCTCATTTAGTACTTTTATTTCCGCTTCCCTCCTTCCTTTTTTTCAAAGAAAAAGAATGCAAAACTGGCTAAGATGCTTCCTTTCATCCCATTCCTATTTGTCTAGATACAATATAAATTCTTTGACAGTCAGTGCTCCAGGTATCCCTGGCCACTTTATTCTCTTTGCTGCATGCCTGACAGTTTCTCTGTCAACTTTGTTCCTTATTTTTCAGGCAGTTGATGAATAAAAAGGGAGTTGAATAAATGCATTAATGAGATATCTATGCAAAATGTGTCAGCTTAGGTAAAATTAGTCCAACTAGAGGCACTGACATAGGAATATCACATAGCAAAATCTTGTGAAACGTGGAAGTGTCTCTCTAGAAAGAAGTTAACAGCATTCAGACCTTTTCATGTCGTGATTTTTTATATTAAGAGAAACTTGGGGTAATTTTCTGATGATAACAAAAATGTAGTTGAATGTGTGTGTTATCAAATGACGTGTCCGGATACTTGGAGGAAGAATCAGTTTTCTGAAAAGGGCAGCTACTGGTGATTAATAGGATAAAATTCCTCATACCTTACTTATTTGTCGAAAACTAGGTGGTAAATTACAGTATAGCAAAAGAAGGCAGATTTTATGGTTACACAGGCAATATGATACAAACAATACGATACAAAAGAATTTCACCCCTATAGATTGAAAATAGAAAGAATGTCATTTCAGTGCTTTAAATAGCTGGAACACGAATTTATAGAAATTATGTGTAGATTTTCAATATCTTTATAATTTTTTCTGAGTGGATGAATTTCTCTCACTTGAGTGCCTTTCATCTTGTTTCACTGCAGCTGTGTATATGAATCTTAAGATCTATCCACCCTATCTTTTTTCTGAGCTTCTAAACACTGATTTGTTTGGCAATTTTCAAAAGTATAAGGATTCCTTAAGCAAGGGCAGGGCAGAATGACCCAGGGTGGCACCACAGGTGGCTGATTTTCAAGAGCATGAAAGTTAACAAATTGTGCTTTAATTCAAACTTGACGTATTCTTGTGAACTGCTAGGAAGGGAAAAAAATCTTTATGCAATTTTTCCCCTTTAAGAATGAAAGTATTTGGGCTGGGAGTATGATCTCTCTAGACTGCAGAGGTGGAAGTGGTTGCTATTCTTCCTGCAGAAAATTTTGCATGACTAGCCCTGATTCAAGTAGAGTTTACACGCTTCGGGACTATATCTTGTAATTTGGCTTTTAACAGCAGTTTAATTTGTAGTTGAAAGTGGAACCTTGTCTCTCTTTTTTTGCAGATTATATTGCTGTTGAAAGCACAGGAGTAGGCATAATAATAATATTCATGTAACTACTTTGAAATCTGTGTTTATTTCTGTGTGCCTCTGTAACATTCAACGTTTGTTGCTTGATAGAATCCAACACAGCTGTTTCACAATCACCAAAACATTGTGAAGAACTTCCCTGTAGTGGGGAGATACAAATTTGCTTAAAAACTAGCCAAAATATTCCTTTTCATCTTCTTTAGAACATTTCTGATCTAGAATGAAACCTATGTGGCAATTGTATGTGATCCCTACAAAAGTAATATGGAAGATTTTTG